GAAGATCCTAACGATCATGAGTATAAGCAAATGCTGGTGCAAATTAATATTAATTTATTTTTACACGACTTACGTCATAATTATTTACTTTAAAATATTTATGAACATTTCATTCAAACAAAAATACCAGAAACAAATTACTAGGAATAACAAAATTTTATCTGTTACTGCGCCGTTTCCCTTTCTAAACCAGAATTTTGTATAAATATAGCAGTTTGCTTTTGTTTTAGATAGAGGAATTTGAATATATTCACTTAAGTCAATTATTAAAGAGTGCCGAGCAAGTCAGCAATAGTTGGTTCCTTTTTACATTTCTTAAAATTATGTTAAAATTTCGGTTAATATAATTTTGTAAACTGATCGACATTCGTCAGTGAATACACAAAAAATTTTTTATCACATACGTAATTCTTACACTTTACATTAAAGGATTGATTTAATTTTTAAGATTTGACGCTATGCGATTTAACGTCCAAGTAATTATTAAAAGATAAAGTTTTATTACTTATTTAGCTTAATAATTAAACTCGAAAATAAAATTAACGATTTAAAGTTGAAGGTGTATGTTTGAAGCTGAAGGTTAATAATAAATTAATTGAAGAGATGTATAATTTTAAAATTTAGACTTGTCGTGTATAAATTTTATACTAGTGGCACGCAAAAGTGAACTCTTGAATGGAATTGTTTTTACATAACATATTGTAGTTGCTAAATTTTTAACAATTTTAAAGCCGTTTACGATTATTTCGATTTATGTTAATTATTAGAAGATGTCATCTTTAGGATTGTTGTCTTTAATGTTAGTTCGATGAGAGACAAATTTGTTCCAAATAGCCAGCTATCCACTAAATTTTATATTCTTTTTACTCGTAATTCGGATGTTTCCTTATTATACGTGCATAAGTTTCATATAAGCCACTTTAACATTTCGGGTCATTTTTTGTTTAAAAAGGTTTATGTACTTATATAAATTTGCCAGGCGGACTTTTTAAACAATTGAAATTTTTTTATGTTTTTTTGTATATTGAGCAGTCTTATAAAATTATTATAAAAAAAATATATATACTGTATATATATATATCAAACCATGTTAATAATAGACGAAGTTACCAACGAAGCTAACGAAGCTTTTATGTCAAACATTTCTTAATTTTTAGCTTAACTGGTTCAAACTTCTTCAGATTTACTTAAAATTTGGTAATACCAATAATTTTCATTGAAGTAACACAGAAAAAGTTACTCGTTCACTAATCCATCAATACTGTTATAGTATAAATCCCCAAAAAATCGTGTACTACATGTTGATATACGTAATCTCAATTTTTCCTATTTAATAATTAAAAAGCAAACCGAAAAAGTTTTTTTATGATTTGAGGCTTTCACCTAAAATTTCGTCATTATATAGAATTTTGTTCGAAACTTGTCTAAGTTGATAAGTAAAATGGGCGGTAATGAGATTTTAATTTTTTATATAATTTTTATCCACGCAAAACGGAGAAAATGAAGCTAAACAATTTCACTTTCTTTAGTAACACAACTTGTTAAGCTTGCAAATTTTATTAAATTGAAATCGCAGATATCGAAATCCGTCAAAAACAAAATTCATTCTCGAAAGGTTTCGACTTTTGCCAAAATGGAATTAGGGTTTCCTTACATATAAATATTTGAATTCAAGTTCGGTAATTATTTTTGGAGGATGGAATTTTAATGGGAAATTTCTTACAAATCAAAACTTTTAATCCTAATTGCATAAAATGTTTAAGAAAATTCTTAAAAGTTTAATTAGTTACATCACTTTATTTAAAAGACGCATATGTATAAATAAACCTAATTTTTAATGCATCATACATGTACATATATGGGGAGTGCTGGGAAAAGGGACCAAAAATTTATTCCTTGTAATACTTTTGTTACCCAATAAAGGCAGGTTTATTATGATCCAAATATTCAGAATTTACCACGCAAATCCTTGCATTTCATAAATGATAAAGGCATTGTTCGCACTTGGTGGCATTTTATCTCAAAATATATGAAATGTCAATTTGTTCCTTTTTCCCGCCAACCCCCATCAAAACACTATCGTCATTTAAAAAAAATAAATTTCACTAATTTGTGTTAAAGTTCATTTATTTGTTGGAATTTTCCCATAAATTATCATCATTATATATAAGTTGTGTTAATCCAAATTTAACGAAAATAAGTTTTAATCTCACTGGAGAGTGAAAATCACATAATTTACTTTTTTAGTTGGTGTTTCTGTCCATGCCCCATATACTGTAACTGTATTTTAGTATAAACCAGAATTTCATAAATAATTTGATATATTCCATTGTCATCAACAGCATTAGGTAACTGTAGTTATCGAGGCTCACATAAAAAAAGCATCACCCGAAAAAAAAATTAAATTATAAATATCTAATTATTGTACGACAATAAAAATTGATTCATTTTAACATTAATAAAAAGACATATTTTTGTAAATGTAATATTTTAAGTGATGCATTTCTTTTACCTTTTTAATATCATCCTGGAGTGATTAGGATTTTAAGGCCTTTCGACAAAGTTACAACTTATGGTTAATGGAGGTGGGTTACGTTCAGTTGAAATGTGGATAACCAAGCAGCAGCTTTTCATAGTATTAGGACGTGAGTTTGAATCATCGGTTGGATCGGTTGACATGCTTCTAAGACTCTTGAGTATACCGAATGGTCCCATGTTTCGTTCAAACTTCCTATTCAGAGTATGGAGGGAATGCTTCCTAATGCGCGTTGTGGAAAGCGTCCTTTGGAAGAACCAACAATTCTGTCTTGGAGCGTTTGAAATCCACATGGGCCAGTTGAATATTCAACGCAGTATTATATTTGTAAAAACAGTGGATAAATCTTGCCTAAACATTGATAAACAATATATCTAATATACTTATGATGTTCCGAGTGTTCATATAATGGTCAAAAGGAACAATCAGAATATTTTGAGAATTATTGCATCGCAACAATAAAAAAAAAAAATTTTTTTTTTTGCTTCGCTTCTTATACCCGGTTATCTGAGAAAGTTATCTTTTAAAAAATGCCATTATATTGAAAAAATGTTGCAGTATAATCATTTCACTACAGCTGGTGAAATTAAAGTAAAGTTAGAGGTAGAGTTCTAAATCAGGTCAGGTCGACCTTTTTACCTGGTAGAGTTACCACATTCGTCCTGTGCTAATGATTTAATGATAAAAATAAAAAAAATCGAAAATTTTGGGTGTATTATTGTAAAAATCAAGTTCAAAAAAAATATTTTATACGAGGTTTTTGTTCCAACTATCATGATTGGATAGCGTTTATTAATTAATGGAGAGTGAGATGTCATTTATGATAACCTAACTATGGTTAGCTTTTCGACGATCCACTGAGTATTTTTTTATTTTAAGGCAAGGCGTATATATGTGCAGAAGAAATAATCTATTTTGATGTGGAAATTTTTTGTTTATTGTTAAAAATGTTTATTTTGAAAATGAACTTCATCCAAATTTGGTAAAACTTTTACACAGTGATGACACAGTGTACTTATTTCATTTTGTCATCACTGTTTATTATGCAATTTTTTTTTTATTATCAAAAAAATTTTTTTTTTTTTTTTATTAGACAAAAAAATAACTGTAATATATAAATAATTTTAAATAAAGGAAAAGTATTCTTCGTGTTTTTTTCCCTCAATCAAGAAAAAAAATAAGATAAATTTTTTAATAAATTACAAAATTCAATAATATTATATCATATATTATTATTTTTTTTTTTGAAAAATGCCTAAAACTAAAAAGACAACTTGCATTATTAAGTCAAATATTAATTCAAAGTTAAATATTGGCGACGGCAGCTTTAATAATATTCTCAAACCGACGTTCCCTTCCACTTTATCAATAAATGAAATTATAAGTGTTATTAAAGCACCTAACAATATTAAAAAGGCAAAAACATTTCCAAATGCTTTCATCACGTATAAAAAGGCATTAATTAAAGAGAATCATAATAAAAACATCAAATTACCTCCTATGGGTCAACTTTCAAAAGTTGCATCATATTATTGGAATGAGGAACCAGAAAACGTAAAGGAATTTTACAGAAAGCTATCCGAGAAAGCTAAATCTTTTTATAAACAAAATGTGATTCAAATCGTATTTGATAAAAATATGATTGAAGTTGAAGAGACTTCACGTGTTACAAGTGTAATTAATAAAGCTGACTCGAATTATGTCAATAATATCCAAGGCATTGAGGATCCCGTTGATAATATAATCTATACGCAAAATTCAACAAGTGTGTATCTTCCGATTGAAGATAATTCTGCCAGCGGTATGAGTTTTTTCCCCGACAACAATTATATCAATAGTTCCCAAGCTAGTTTTCCCAATAGTAACTTTTTCGAAGACCGGTATTTAATGAATCAAATTCCTAACGATCAAGAATATATTAAAACGTTGGAATGCGAAAGAATTCAGTTTTCTCCTGATTCAGATTATTTCAATTATATCCAAGGCATTGAAGTTCCCGGTGAGGATATAATCTTTACGCCGAATTCGTATCTTCCCATAGATTATTCCGCTTGTAACCTTTTCGATCGAGAGTATGGAATGGAACATAATTTTACCGATTTCGTATTGGTTGAAAATAATCAAGAAAGTGTTTCAATTTATGGCACAGACTCGGATTATAAATTATAGGAACTGTGGGAATTCTTCCCAATGAATTGATAAAATATTTAAAATGCAGCTCGACGTCACCCCATAGAACTTATTTTAATGATAAATAATGTTATATAACTAAAATACATATTGACAAATTAAATGTACACATTTTTTTTAGAAAACATCGCAAAATGATATACAGTAAATAAATATTAAAATAATGGGTGTTTTTTACTTATTTATCATTTCTTAATGAGACATGTTCTCTCTTTTTCACTTTTTCTACAAATAAATCACGTTCTTTAATTTTCTTTTTTAAAGTATAATCATATTTAAGGAAAAACGAAAATAAACGCATTGACATTATTTATCTCATGTTTTCAAATTTAATAAATTCTATTTAATTACTAAAGTAATATAACATTTAGATTAAATCTTAAAAAATATTATATCTTTTGATACATTAATCTTTATTAAATATATTAAAAATACTAATTACATTCTTTTTTTTTAAAAAAAGAATAAAAATAAATTAAAATAAACGCATTGGATTTATAAAATTGAATTTGGTTGATAATTATGATTTTTTTGGATGTAATATTAAATAATTGTAATATAAACTATATACCATCGAGAAGAATTTTTATTAGTATAGTACATCCAAAACTTATAGTATAAGCATAAATATTATAATTTAAAATTAAAAATTAATATCATCATGATATATTTAAGAATATTGGGATAAGAAAAATATAAGTATATATTTCAAATAAGATATTCTAAAAAAAAAAATAAATGAATTTTATATTCTTTTTTATAATAAAATTTCTTATTTTCAATATTTTTCAATATTTTAAATTATTAATATTAAATTAAATAATTAAATAAAAATTATTATACAGCATTATTACTACAAATATTGTAGGGTAAAATTTTTTGTGATAAGTGACGGGAACGTCATTCTGCGATCTAATTTTTTTCGCGATCGAAATTTTATTAAACGGTGTGCTTAATTTCAAAAGTATACGTTATCGAAATTATATTGTTTTAATTAAATAATAAAGATAAAGTAAAAATTTTTTTAATAAATATTATATATATAGTTAAAAAAAAAAAAAAAAAAAAAAAAAAAAAAAAAACTACTTAAAAGAATAAGACATTAATGAAAATTTGTAAAAGAGCTTGTAGGCAATAAAATCTTATGTGGTAAATAACAATAAACAAAAGAATTTACAATACAAATGTTTTGAATGTATCGAGCAATATAACATTGATTTTGTCAATTGAATATATTTTTATCGGTGATTTCGATCATTAATTGTTGATTATAAGTGAACGGATCCCTAATAACATTAAACTGATATTTTTTCTATTAATTTCGTGCTAAATTGGGAAAATTATCCAGAATCAAAAATTTTTGGAAAAAAAAATCTCAAAATGTACAAGATTTATTATAAATATCAGTAGATGATAATGAATTACCATTAAAATTATAGATAGATATATGATGGTAATCTTTCAATCGAGTATTCTATTCTACCTTTATTGTTATGAATTAAGCTCCACGTAGTTATTGATTTTTTTTTATATTCTGCTAAACTATAATTCAATATGATGGTGATGTTAATTAGTCTATTTTTTAAAAAATAAATAAATGAACTAAATCATTGAATTAAATTATTTACTTCATTTATTATTAAAACGAGTTACGAGAAATAATTCCTGCCGATACGCACAACGCTTACATATTAATAGTTTGCTTTTTTTTATAATATTGGGCATTACTGATATATATAAGTTTGATCATGTAAAAATATTCTCCGTTCACAACCAGAAAAATTAAAATAAATTTGTTGTTTGCGTGTAAATAGTGATGAAATCGTCATATGTGATGTTCATTACCCCTGGCTCATAATATTATATTTTCTTATAATTGGACGAAATCACGAACAACTTTTTTTCAGTGTAATAATAAGACGAAGGCTAGATGGCTGTTAACACCAATAGGACAAGTATACCTCCAAATAAGGCTAGAAGGCTGTTAACATAAAATACCACAAGAATGTCACTCAAATGAGGCTAGAATGCCAGCAACCTATCACATTATAAATTGCTATAACAAATATGGCAATCTCTAAAAAATCCAAGTCGTGAAACTCAAAGCTGAAACTCAGCCCCAAAAAACAGTCTATAGATATTTCCATGTAATACATGCAGTATAAATGAATGAGTAAATTTGGGTTAATTGAATTGTTTGGTTGTATTCCGTATCATCTATTAGAAAAAAAAGTATACTAAAACTATGAAATGTGACTAGTGCTTTTTGCAAATAGAAAAACAAAATAATGATTATCTAGGAGCATAACTTAGGCAATGGCTATAAGTTTTATTTTTGTATATGGATTGAATCAATGGCATTACACAAACTATAAATACATTTATTTCTCGTGCTAAAAATAAGTTCAGCCATCGTAGTACCTAGGGTTTGAAGGCCTGAGTTCAATTTTTGAGGTCCTGGGCGGGTCAACTATGGTGGTAGGTTAGCTACCTAGGTTGTCTTGACTCTCTTCCAGTAGATTGTGATCGAATATCGAACGACGCCCGGGTACCTTCAGTACCTGTCCCTGTGGGCATGTAAAGTTGAATAACTTACTCGGTAAGTGTTTTCAGCTTCTCCCAAGTATGACACAATTCGGCAAGTGACAAGCGAGATCACACAGGTTGAATAATATCAACGGCTTAGCGTTAGTCGTCAGTAATGGTGCGCAATATAGGACCTTTGGCTGCACTACATAATGTTTTTTTGCGTCTTAAAATATTATTTTAATCAAGTTTACATAACTTCCAACCTTTTATTATGATACAAAAAATAATTCCTTTGAATTATTACAAATACGTAGAAATTCTTTGCAGAATACAATTATTCCAATATTTTTGACTTTTTTGTTTTTTTCAGCCTACAGACACGCGAAGAATCGGTAACTTATGAATATATGGATTTCCACATTCCGGATTTAATTACTATAATTACAAATTTCTTATAATTCTCAATTATCATGTAAAAACCTTCCGAGATAAATGAAAATAAAAATATACTAACTACGTAAATCTAATCCAATTCTGCGGCTAGATATTACAGTAACTGATTAATATGACCTAATTTAAGCCAATAGTATTAGTTTGAAATTGTATAACTTTTCAAAGAAAATGTCACGAAACAAATTTCACAAAAAAAATTTGTGTTG